ACATACAGATATAGTTAGTGTAAAGAGTAATGCAAACTTCCCCTAATTTAGCAACAAATTCTTTTGTCTCCCCAGTTTTGAAGAGTGTCACATCCAGAGGCTGCACTAGACATTTTTTTTGTCTGTCATTTTGACTTGACAGCATTAAAAAAATCTGTCATGTACTATTTTTACCTGTCAAATTATAATCATATTAACATGGCTATTGAGCTGCGTTTTTATGCGGGTTAGTTAATGTTCACCTAGTTGAGCCGTGTATCCATATCCCATCACACATAAAGCAGATAAACACATTTAACTTTTTCTCCATAGTGACACAAACCACTGACTGTGGCCCTAATAACTTTTAATAAATTAAATTAAAGACTCCACTTAAATTACCATTAATTCACCTGCTGGGTTCTGAACGCACAGCCTCACAAATTCCTCCTGGTTGCATCTGCAGAGAAATCTGCGCTGGTTCATCAGACAGTTGGATCTGTATGAACCAAACCAATTAATTGAACTTTGCCGGCTTTTTTACCCTGTGTGGTCCGGATGTGCGCTTTTTCGAAGATTTTTTTTTGTGTGGTTTCACTTCCCCGAAACGGACAGATGTTACATCTGCTGCGCTTCTCCTGAGTGCCGCTCTCCTTCTGGGAGCAGGAGGGTAATGTCTTCCAGCTCCGTTTGTTAAAACTGCAGGGTGAGTTAAGTTTAATTCTTCACAGCGGCGGAGCTGCGTCCCCATTGGTTATGCAGCGTACTGCGCATGTTACAGTCTAACTAACTTCTGCACTTTTATTTATTTCCTCAAGATAAACTGCCAGCTCCTCTGTTTAGACTACAAATGGATTAACACAACATTGCATCCTCTTTCATTCTTTTGTTCTGCGTGTAATGGAGACTGGAATTTCAACCATTGGTTTGAAATGCGCTTCTGAACCAGACGCACTCCAAAGCGTCCAGTCCATAACTCTTCAACACTCGGTCAGCTTTCGGTCGGCAAGACACACTTAGTTCAGTGCCCATGAGATGATATTCAGATAAGATTTTTTTATTGATTGATTTTAGTTGCATCTGCGATGAACTCTTTGCGTAAAGTCTATAATATCTACACAATTCCACCAACAGACAGGTATCAAATTTTTCCACTGTTGGAAAAACCCCCAAAACGGTCAAGTACATAAAATATTCCGTTAACGTGACCCATGGTCACATCATATATACCCCATACATTTGAAGTTCTCTTTTAGTAACTAAACGTTCCTCAACACTCTCATCAATATAAAGTAAAGAGAATTTTTATCATGGTGGTGCTAAGAATGATTTGTTTATATATAATAGTTTCCCGATTTAAATAATAATAAACCTACTTTTTTCAGTGTCATTGTGCTTCTGAAATAAAATAATTCATTTGAATATACAATAAACCAATCAATGTGGTGGTTCACTGCATAACACAAAATAGTACCAAATATTTTTGGTCTAGTTTCCAGTGCAAATATCTTAATTTTTTTTTCAAGACTAACAGCAAGATATAGAAGCTTTTTTAAGTAAATAATTTCTTAATATTGATGAAAAAGTACAAAGTGAAATAATTTGCCAGTGGAGCTAGTAGTTTTTCATCAATATTAAGGAATTACTGACTTAAAACTAAATTTCTTGCGGAAATTACTTCTAAGTTAGGTTTGTATTATTTCAAGTATACTAAGATATTCACACTAGAAACTAGGGAGATTTTGTGTTTTTGGAGTATTGTTGATCAATACATGTGTGAACTTGAGTATTTTCCATATTAATCTTTGTGGTTTATAGAGTTTCTACCATTTATTTGCTTTTTTTTAATCCATAATTAAGGTCTTCATTATCTGAAGCCAGAGCTGCTCCTTCCATCCAACTAATTATTAAATGTTCTCTGGAGAGCAGAAAAGTAAAAAGTCCCACTTTGTTCATGTTGCTGTAGGTCTAAAAGTAGGTTTGTTCTGTTTGTAGCACTCTGAGGCAGCGGGCTGACCCTGTCTACAGTCCTCCTCTGCAGATATCTGGCCTTTGCTGGAGGCTTAAAGTTTACCCAGTAAGTCTGAAGCTATTTTATTTGCTGAAGCTGTTTTTCAATGTTTTTGATGGATAATTTAGAAAAGAAATGTCCAGAATTCTGTTTAAAGCTGGTAACTACTGTTTGACATTCTCAGGATGGTAACGGCGTCGTCCGTGGAAACTATCTGTCTGTGTTCCTCGAGCTGTCTGCTGGACTTCCTGAAACCTCAAAGTAGGAGTTATTTCTTTCCTCCTAGGAACCTGTTTATTATAAATATTTTTTATTTTATAAACTTTAAGCAGTACCTTAATATTTATTCTTTTCCAAAAACCAATTTTAAACTGCAGATGACTTATTTTGCATGACTGGTATCCATTGATATTCTATCTCAAATTTTGACATCCAGCTTTGCAGGGTTTCTCCCAGAAAACTTGCTAAGCCCGGTGTTTGGGGCACCGAGTTGGTTCACCAGTGGCCCACCGTGTTTTTTGTATTAAAAAATGTTACATTGACAGGAAATTTAAAAATATTACTGGGTAATTATGTTGCTGGAAAACATTGCTGACCCACCATTATAGAATCTTGAAAGCAACAATTACAAAAAAATACAATTAAAATAAATATCAATTATTTGCACTTCAGTTGCTCCTTAAGACTCCCAAGGCTTGTAGGGTCCCCATAAATACTAACATTTTAAATCAGACCATAGATATAGAAATCTAACATTTCTTTATTGAGAATATCAATGTTGTTAAATTTGATTTAATGGTTCAAGCATAGACAAATTAAAAGATTTTAAATTGTTTAACATTTACATTTAAAGAACTGGCAAGTTTACTTTGTAAAGTGCCAAGATCAATCTTTATAGTTGCATTGTTGTTTTACCATATATACAAACTGATGCTACGAGTTTAATCTTTGAGTTTCCACTTTGTTTGTTCACAAATATATCTTAGTAAATTACAATTATCACTGATTGCTTTTAAGGTTGGCTAATTAAGCTAAGTCCCTCTCCCAGATTTCACTCAGTCTATGGTGAAATACTTTTTGTGGTGCTGATGTTCTTAGCAGCAAAAGGAGACCCTAAGTCAAATTCTTCTCGAGGCCTCATACAACCTTGGACCGACCCTGTATGATGAGCTAAATTTGCTGCACTGTGCTTCTCTGCTGGACACAGAGGGACAAACGGTAGATGTAATTTTTTCATGTCTCCCCTTATTAGGGTTTTTAATAAGCACCACAGAGACTGTTTTGGTTGCCCGAGCTTTATGGGACGGGTTTTCTGATCTCCGCGTGCAGCAACTTCAGCTGCACGCCAAAGTTGACTGTAAGTAGAGAAAGCATTTTACAGCATGTCGCTGTAAAAAATAAAAAAATAATAATGGTAAAAATGAAATAAAACCAGTGTGCTGCGCAACTACGAGGCAAGTGTGAAAGCTCCTCCATGGACTGAATCACTGGTCCGCTAAAGCACCATCTAACAGAGGAACACATACATTTTATCAGTGCAGACAAGGAGACGCGCGTTGGCCAGCGTGGCTCTGTGTGTTAAATGCACACGAATTTCAATGCACATGCTGCACATCATTCTTTGTTCACACAGATATACCCAGGGGTGAAAGTAAGCCGGTGTTACAGCAAAATCTGTGACCCATCATTTTCTGTGACCGCAGGGGGCTGTAGAACGCAGGTACGTCTTGAAGATCAGCGAGAAGAGTCTTTAGGTAAACTGCGAAAATACTGATACAGCTGGGATTGTAAACTTCACGGCTCCTTTATTACCATCGCATTGACAAAGAAAATAGAATGTATTCCTTTGTATTTAACTCTGAAAACTGTTTGATGGACCATCGCACTGAATGCCTTTGTTCTATCGTTAAAATATGTAAACCAACTTTGGCCATTTAATTGTAAAGCAATTAAGAAATGATTTTAAGTGTTCTGGTAGTTTTTAGTGTTTCTGCCACCTCTTCATTATAGTCATATCTCACTTAAAATAATTAACCCTCAAATAGCCAGGATCACACTGGTCACAGGTTATGATGGCCAGAATAATCCGTGACCTTACTGTACAGGCCAGTAAATAATGTCAGTGTTTAAAACAACTATTTTTCATAGTAACATAGCTTTAATCATCCATTTGACCGATAACAGCTCATGGTGTGGGTATTATGTTGAGAAATTAACACCTGTGGTTATAAACTGGTTATAAACTGTGTCAAAACAGCCACTTTCACGTGTGTGTGTGTGTGTGTGTGT